GAACAAATACAGGCAAATTTACCTAAAGTACCTGAAATACCTGAGTTAAGACGCTCTAACCGTATAAAGAGACAGACAACAGGATGACCAGTTCAGTTTGAGGAGTGCCAGAAGATGACAGTACTACCAACTGTCGAAAGCGCTCGCAGATAATTAATAGAAGATATAAAGCTTCAAATCCTTTTTGTAGAATTTGATATATATTGAATGACAAGTTGAATTTGAGGAGTGCCTTTATATACTTGTGCGAGCTAAGGATTAACGAGGTCTTACCTTTTAACGTATTATTCCGAACACAACTGGTTTACATGAAAACATATACCTTCTGGACGTTTTTTAAGGTTCATATTCAATTTTTTTGAAATGATTTTTTCAACCTGTAGGCAAACTTCATGAATATGACTAGTTACTGACTAATTGAACATTTCAGTAGTTTATATTACGCACTAACTTATCGTGGTAAATTTTTCAGTTAGCCCGTATTATACTCTAGCAGATACTCTATATATTTAGCTTTGTTTATTTTTCAGATACTCAAAAAACAGTAAGAAGTATCGAGTCCTTCACACAAATTTATTCTGCGATAAAAAAGGTTTGATTATATAACTGTGAAATTTATTTCAGATGACCTGAAATTAATTTCACTGGAGATACCCTATGCGATAACTCCATAATCAATTGTGTTTCGTATTGTTGTAAATGAGCAAGTAGTAACCAGCCCACAAATAGACAGTTATGCATTTGTCTTGTTGCGAATATTCTAACATTCTAACATTCTAACTTTGAATAGAAGAAGAATATAGTATATGTTGAACATAAAACAAAAAATGACCTATCTAGGTCCTGCAAGACATTCAGCAGCAAGTATTTTTGGACTAGTGATTTCGCAAATGATTGAAACCTTCAGTTAGTTTTTTCACAATGCAAGCATATTTAGGAATAAATAGATATTCATGCTGGAACATACATGCAAAACAGATCATGCAAAATACAGAACCAGTGTTCCTAAACGAAAAACAGGGGTATCCATAATATTGAGTCAAAACTGTTGTGCTGATTGGCAATGCTGATATTCTATAAGTCGAATAAAACGTGTCGACAAAGTACAAGGTTCAATACTTATCATACATTTAAAAGAACCATGGAAGCAGAAAAACTGAAACGACTGCAACTGATAGACCTTTTACTTACAAATTAATGAGTTAATTGAATAAAATCCAAAATCCCGATAGAAACTTTTGCGCTCAACCTTTTGTGGGGGCGTTGGATGTATGTGAAACTTTATTTTGAAAAAAATATGAGATGATTCTCATCATTATGTCACTTTCAAGCAGCAATGACAAATTCAATAATTGTCAGATACAATCCTTGAGAAAACAGTAAATATTTTGATTACAGAAATTTTATATCGTTGAATTCATAAAATTTTTCACCGACCCTGTAAAACTTTTACTTTGAACATTGGAAGATTTTACAAGCCAATAGTCTCATGAGCTGATGATTTACTAATTGGAATTTGCAGCTAAGTCGTCACCTAGATGTCTGCTTTAATTTTCTCACATTATTCTTTGGAGAAATAACAAAATTTCTGAAATTTCTTCAGTGAACAACTATACTTGTGAACATTTGGCATAAACTACTAGAGAAAATATGAATAGTTCATTAAGAGCTATGAATAACATTTGCAATTAATTGATTATCTTGATCTTTACCAGTATGATAATCACAAAATTTGATGTTTGATTGAGATCTGAGCATATACAATCATGAATCTATTCAGTCTTCTGGAAACACATTTTGTGCTCAAATTTCCAGTATAATTCGCTGTTGGGTATCCCACGAGAAAAAAAATTCCACTAAAATACCGCCTTTGCGGTCATTTGTCAAAATAACGTATTTTGATTGGTTCAAAATTACAGGTGTGGAATCTTCACTGTTACTAGCTTCATTCGTGTTTGAAGGCTGTCGAAGTAATATTTCTCTTTCAAAATAATCTTATCATAAGTCAAAGAAAAAGTATAGTATTCCTCTTTCAAAAGTATCCATTACTCGCCTTAGGTTTACGATGATCGCTTTGACTAGCGTTACGAAATTTTTCAAGAGTAATGGTCACATTTCTCATTCGTTGAATAACATATTAATTTTGTCAGACAATTTTCAAAAAATCCGCGTTAAGTTGTTACAGAATTTTCAACTTGTTTGCTTTGAGCTTAACGGTTTCCACTGCAAAAAAACACTGAAAATGAGTCATCGTAATAATATGAAGACCTGTAAGAGGATGATTTTGAATAAAAATGGTTTTGTGAAACAGCCCCCCCCCCCATTAAAAATGAAAATTACTTGTTAATTTTTCATATTATTTGTTTAGAAAACGTGGAGTTTTCGTAGATTTATACAGGCTGATTCACGGTGGATGGCACATTAGACGTTTCTGGTGAACCAGACAACGGATCACTTTGAAAATTTAATGGAGGGCATATTATTCGAATTTGTCGAATATATGAATTCAAATCGATGTTTATCTTCGAAAATACAATTACTTCATATGAAATATACTGATTTTGTATATTAGAAAACGAAGAATTTCAAAATCATCGATCATACTCCTTATGTAACATTTTTTTATAGAGAATAATGACGCTGGGCCGATAAATCGAAGAGAATTAGTAAACAGTTTTGAATCAACATTTTGGACCACCCCCGTAGATGGCAGTCTTGAGGGCCACTTACAGGGATAGAGGCAGGTTTGTTGACCACCACTATGTCTTCGTCCATGTGTACAATGGCGATGGGTTGACTAGTGACTGGTACTTCGTGCCTGTAACATACAGGTACGTCCTAAAGTACGAAACATGATGGATATCAGTATATTAGTATGGTGATAACAAAGGACACTGAACAAAGTTTGTTAAGTCCAGGGCTGAAACTAAGTAAGCATTATGGGCGTCAATTCAATACATAACACAAAGGAAATGAGTTCAAAACTGATCTTAATAAAAACATTATTTCCCCTTGAATGGTCTGTCATTTCTCAAAACTGCTTTTGAATAACGACTATTCAAAAAATGAAAAGCCAGAAAGCACAGTATGTTTCCAAATGTCATATCATTATTCAAGGAGGTGATTCTTTAAACAGTTCTGAGAAGAAATTTATTCTAAAATCATATCCTCAAGACTTTCAACTTTTATTATGAACCTCGTATATGTCTGAAGCTATCAAATTCAAACTCGACACGTTTCACTAACCTTCTGTTTGAGTCTGTTTGAAAATCTGTTTTTCCGTTAACCAGCTATCGCCCCTCTACGAACGACAACTCTCAAAAGTTGAAACTTGTGTGAGCTGGGGACTAACGAGGTCTTACCTTCTAACGTATGATTCCTAGCACGGGTTGGACGCTAGGGAGTGAAAATCGATCGTCCGGCCTAGCGACTTGAACCACCGGTTCACACAGCGGTCGATTGAGTGAGTCCCACCTGCTATCAATGGTCGGACGAGAAACAGATAGAAATCGTTCCATCTGTTGTGCATAATCCCTTCGAGAAATACCTCAGAAGATATAAGTTTCACCCCCGTAAATGAAGGTTTATACAATAGTACAGTCATTTAAAGTTTCATCTGCGGAAAAATTACCACTGGGCTGAATTTTGGTATACACCTTTATTATTGGGTTTTAATGAAGATATGGAAAATCAACATTGATATCGTGCCGGCTAAAAAAGTTATAAGGACCAAAAGGTCACGAAAATCAGTTTTTCGGGAATATCTCGCGAAGCATTGACAAGGGCATCTCGAGCGCAATTTTCTTGTTGGAATATTTCTGCAGAATTATGTAAATCGAGTCTTTTTTCAAACATCTTCATGACTTTAATTTTTCCTTTCCCAAAAGGTGTTGAAGTTGTGTCACATCCGGTCATAGCATGTAGATAGAGAACATTTTTTGCAGTGTGGATACTTGTTGAGGCTCTCAGTCGAGTATATTTTTGTTTCAACATTGTTTTTTCCTGGTTTCTTAAACAAAATGGATGTAGGTTGATCAAGTATTTGTGTGCGTGCTATGAGAAGTACCAATAGATCTAATTGTAGTATTATTTATTGATTTTTCAATTGCTGTTTCAACTATCAAGACGTCAGCATCATCATGTGATTGTCTTGTAGAAATACCAACTTTTTCGAAATTGTCAATACGCATTTCAATTAATTTTCTTTTGTCAAATCGATCAGATAAAAAAACTCTCTTGACTCTTAGGAACTTCCATCGATTCATTGAAGTGCACTTCACAAGATGTAGAAACGGCTGCGGTTCGTCTTAGTTGTTACATCGCTTTGATATTTTTACTGGTATCGGAGTAACCATCAAAAATGACAATACTATTTTGACCGAGTAGAAGTTAGAAGTTTAAAGAAAACTTAAATACATTGATAAAAAGCAATAGAGTTGACGCTGATGCCTTATATGTATAGGTACGGTATACAATACCCTATCTGAGTGCATTCTACTCGCTTTCTAAGCGTTCTAGTTCGAAAACGGTTGACTTTACAGAAAAAACCAGCTAACATTTTTTGTAGACAATAGTATGAGGAATGATTTTTATAATGACCTCTATTGACCTCCGAGCCATAGGTCGCGAGATATTTGCAAAAAACTTATTTCCGTGACCTTTTGACCCTTATAACTTTTTTAGCCGGCACGATATCAATGTCGATTTTTCACATCTTCATAGAAACGCCATAATGAATGTGTATATCAGCTCAGTAGGGATTTTTCCGCAGATTGAGGTTTAAAAAACCTAAAATGACTGGATTACAAGTTTATGGCTGACTATCTCTCATTCCGAGATGAGACCCCTGATATTCCTGGTGTATACCTGGTGTACACCATAACATTTTGATCCCTGGGAGAGTCCAGAGATCGGAAGGCAATATTTGTAAACTAAACCTACCAAACTTCACTGTTCCTACAGATTCCTACTTTATCCGAGCTTCTTCATTTACCAAGAGCCTTAAGCAAATGCAGTGACGTCACTTACCTATGTACAATGTTGGCCAGAAGATCATTGTGCTTTAGTTTATAGTCAGTGGGAACTTTTTCATAATTAACGGTCAGAGTACCCGCTTCGATGCACCTCTCGTATTCTTCGGCTGGGTGGGCTCTGAACTCTCTGGAGAAGATGTCGAGGATTTTTTCACCGACCCAGCGGCCTTTCGTAAACGTCGTGAATGTGAAGTAGTACGGGTATACTTTCCTGAGACCTATAACAAAAATTAAAGGTTCATATAGTAATAGATGAAAATTAATTTGATTCAATTCCAGTTTACAGATGATATTCAGTTTGTGTTTCATAAGAATAAGGTCTTTGCGGGGGTTTTAGTAACTGACCAAAAGGAACTGTAAGCGTTTTCAAAGACTTATACAATTCTGATGAGAAAAATAAAAATCCAAACTTCATGAAATAACATAAAGAAAACTGCTTGTACATCCTAAACAGCTGAATCATACAGTTGTGGAAAACAAATATCGGAACATACGAATCCGTATGCATTTTGGACGGGGTTCGCGATAGCAGCGACCAGTTTGTTCGCGACGAAATATAAACAATTTGATATGAAAGATTCACATTGAGCTAAGTTGATCGAAACAATTATGTGACGAAATCATTTTCTTGAACTGGAAATTATTTAAATACTAGTTGTTGCTCGCGGCTTTGCCCGGGTGGAATTTGGTTTGTCATAGTTAGTTTCGTGACAGTCCATTTTAAATAAACAGTAACAATATTTTTTCATTAACCCAAAACTTCAGGTTTCCAACTTCAAAACAATATTTAAATCCCAATTTTTTCCCTTTGAGAGTTGAAATTCCTGATTCCTTTTCCTGACGCCTATTTTCGCTATACAAAGAACCTACCTGCATATTTCAAGACTCCAGGTTCAGTAGCTTCGGCTGTATGTTTACATAAGTGTGTCAGTCAATAAATAGGTACCAATTTTACAATATTGAATAGTGTCAGTAAAAAAACAGAAAGGATTAGTATGGAATACATTGGTAATCCTACTAATCCTACTCCTACTAATGTTATAAAGGCGTAAAGCTTGTGAGGATGGACGAATGTAATATATGTATTTGAGTTTTTTTACTTTTTCGCGCCTGAACAGCTCAACGGATTCAAATGTATAAGTTGGTATATAGGTAGATAATGACCTGGAATAACACATAGGGTCGGTTCCAACGGTAATGCGGGTAAAGCCGGGGAACACCTACTTTTCAACCTAGAATCTTGAAATATACAGGTAGGTTCCCGTAGGTTGGGCTACCTATCGAGCGCGTCCCCAGGTGGTGGATAGGGAAACGGCCAGGGGACTGGGGGGTCCTGTCCGGGAAGCCAATGTGGCCTTACGGACGAGGTCGCCGGACTCTTAGTCAGTTGCAGAAATAAGTAGGGTGAGGGGAACTAAAACTCCCCAAAAGCCTTTGCGTCACTGTGGACCAGCCTACCCAAGCTAGGATGTAAGGATTCGTGCCGACAGCTGAATGGCTGCATGCGGTTCCTTGGGGAACCAGGCGAAACCTCACTGTGATCAGCCTTCCTTTGTAATGTAATGTTGCTGCATATTCCAAAACTTTCGCGGAGGCCGCCGTGAGATACCTCAAGGTTGCCAAAGAGAGTGTGTGTTCGGCAAGTATTGGCCTACACCTGCCGATATAAAGGAGATGTGTCCTAGTGACCTGTCCACCTTCCTGGATAGGAAAGGATGGACGATGCCCTAGGAGGATAACTCCTACAATGGGTCACATGTGGCCTGAGTGCTGTGGGCCTACACTCACCCTCCCTACTCTATAGATACAGATGCAGGTAGGTTTTTTGTATACGTGCCCAATTTATTATCGACCTTTTTTGGGTATTTTTATCTTCCACAATCTGAAAAATATGAAAATTATAATGGAGAATTGTATACAAGTGTAGAAAGGGCAAACTTTTTAGTTTACCCCGATGAGTTAATGCGTAAGTTTATCAGTAACTTGTCGTATTCAACAATTTTGCCTATCAAAATTGTGTCCTTGATGGATATTTGTAAAACTAACAGATACTATTCACGAACCATTCACAGCTTTTCATAAAACCAATGAGTTTCAGTCATGCAAGTTGAAGTCTCCATTGGAAAAATTGTTGAGTAACCAATTGCCTCCAGTGTAATATTAAACCATCCATCATAAACGCCAGTATAAAATGTTTCCTAAACGTCGTCCAAACCACCCTCCTCCCGTGTCTTTATTAATACCCCGAAAATCCACAAACTAGAAGTTTGTGTTCTGTGATAAACGTAATAAATTCTTCTACGAATGTCGCTGACACGCTACAAATATTTCATTCACGAAGAGAGCTCTGTTAAAGTACTCGAGAATGGAATATTAATTTCGATTCAACTTTTGTATTCGAGTTCGAATGAAATAAAACTCTCTTCAGTGTTTGATTCGAATATAATGACTTTTGAGAATTCCGTATAATACGATACTTCTGAAATACGCTTTCGTTTCGAGTGGTCTATGGAATAAAGGTGTAGGGTGTGGTACAGAGTATTGAAAAAGTCTTCCCTTTGTAGTTGAGCTCCACTGATTGTGTGATGTATTATGACGAACAAAGTGTAGTATGAGGATTGAGCTTGCCAATATGTTCCTTTAGCTCAGTGTATTCTGGGACTTCCTGTCCCGAGTATAAACCTGTGTTTGTTTCCAAAATGTGCCTGTCAATTTCCGAAATCTTTGAAAGATTGAATAGCTTGAATGCTTCTGAAGGTCCTGTTCCAGATGGTACTTCTCCATA